AAGTATATCGCGCATGCATCATTATTTAACTTGTTTTATTTTATATATATCTGTTTACGTGAGTAAAAGTGTACAATAAATTTCTTTTCCTAGCACAATCGTTCATATAGCGGTGTTGTTCATTTAACAGTTAAATTATCGTCTCCTTTACATCGCGTTGTTCATTCTCTTCGAGACTGTAAACGCTTATGACAATTCGGTCAGTAACGCGTAGGTGTTTTCGCGAGTAAAGACGAGCGTGGTCGAAAGCCCGCAAAGTAGTTCAAGCTGAGAAGAGCCAATAGCGAGCGCGTAATCGTTGTCAGCATGCGTGAGGAGGTGGTGAAGAGACATACGCGGTGTTGCGTCGCGTCGCGTCGCGTCGCAGCATCTCCTTAACTCTTCCTCCGCGCTTAAATAAATTAAACGAGTCATCGCGCGACAAGTAGGCTCGGTGTGTTACTTACATAGGTCTTACACGTGTCTTACGTCATTCGCACGCGTGGCCGAAGAGAACTACAACTTCGTTCTCTATCCTTGAATCTTGCTCAAAATTAGCCGCAATCAAAGTGCCACGTCAACATCCCCCCTTTGCCCTCTGCTTAACGACGGCGGCGTTTCTTCTCATTCTCCTTCCATTCGTGGTTAAGGAAATCGGCGAGACTTCCGTCGCGAATCATCAACCTGATAATGAACTCGGTGAGTCAGTCGAGAGCGAACAGCTATCGCTCGAAAAAAATTCGATCGTCGTGAAATCGATCTCGCCAAACAATTCGATTTCGCCAAACGAATGAAAGAGAACACTTTCCGTAGTCTGCACAAATGAAGGTCTAACGTCTATTCGACTTTGATTTTATTACGACTGTGTATAAGACTACAAGCTAAACCTATTATTCAAGATTGCGTATACAAATTAGGTATTATTGGAGTGTATGACTATATTCTCATATAGAGATTAAAACAATTGAATATATTCAATGAATATATTCAATGTTGTATAATTTGAATTAAAAATTACAAACTGACCGTTATATTATATAATATTATATGTTATCACTTCAATCACAAGTGGAGCAGTATCTTAAAAATGCCGATGTATTAAGGAACCGACGAGAATATAAAAGAAATGTAAAAAAGCACTTGTACAACGCAAATTCTGATTCTCAAATCGATGCGTGATCTTTTCTGTCGCGGTATATATATATTCCTAGTACTCGCTCATACAAAACTTGACGATGTAAGTAACGTACAACGACTACAGCGAGATCGAAGCGTGTTTGGTAAAGACCGCAGATTAACCACCATTGCATTCGGAACGCATCCCTATAGGCTAGAAACCAGCCTCGCCCCCGGAGCTGAGGGTGCGTCTGCTCTGCTCGAGGGTGAGTCTCGTATATCGAAACGAAACCAGTCTTCCCTCTCCTTCGACATCGACATTGCAGTGTCTGTAGACTCCGAATGACGTATCTACTCTAACTCCTCCCGTCTCCCCGCTCGCCTCACCTCGTCTCGTAGCGTGATATATAAAGCGATGAAAATAATGTAACGCACCGCCACCAAAATCTATTGACACGCCACCCCATGTGCACGCATACGCGCACACACTATCCATTCATGGGTACGTACGTGTGCGCGAGAGAAATGAGAGTCGCGACTGGTTGTCGAGATCGAGATGTTAGAGAACCCCTCTGTAAATAAGCAAGATGGCGATGTCAAAATAACCGTAGATAGGACCATAAGATACGGTCCAAGTTTCTGCTTAAAATACGAGAAAGCATATTTTATTTTTATATTTAATTATAAATGATTAATATATTTAATTTCATTTCGCTCTACTTATGCAGACTTATGTGTGAAACGTTTGCTTTAAATTCAAGTCTCTTAAAAACTTTATCTTTTATTTTAAAATCTCTCTTATGTTAAGTTTTTAGAGCGAACGTTTTCAAGGTAGCATTTTAGATATAAGAAAATAAACAGATTTTAATAGTTTTTATACATAATCTAATTTGCTGTCATTTAATTTAATTATTAATGCTATTGACATATCAATAGAATACAGATTATATATTGTCATATTTGTTTGCATTAAAAGTAAAGTCACAGATGATAAAACGGCGAGCAGAAATGTGCAAGCAGAGTAGAGGCTAATAATGTAATCCAGTAACGTAGTAGCCATAATACTATAACGATATACATATATATATATGATCCAGATACTAAATAGTTGAATACAAACAGTTCCACGAGTGCTTTCATTTCACGTCGACCATTGCGGGCGCGTTTGCGCGAATAACGCTGACGACATCGACAATAATGTAATAGCGCAAAGTAATTCAGCGAGTTACCGACTACTTACTAAAACACCAGGAACACTTACGAACTTTACGCGCCTTGCACGTATAATTCCCTCTTAGCAAAGCAACATTAACGTCTAAATATCTGCCTATAAAAAAATTGTTAAATAAATGTCAAAAAATGTCTGTAATTTATAAATAACAAGTTTTAAAAAAGTAGACTTGTGTGAAATTAATTTTTATTTGTGTTTAGTTTTTATTATAAGGAAATAACCAGGTAGATTCGCAAAATTACACATTGAAAATATTTAGTTGTAAATAAACAAACAACACACTAATCAGTTATTTCATTATTGACTACAAGAAAAGAAATAATTCTATCTATATGTATTAAAATTATTATTTTAATGTACCAAATATTAAGTTCTGTAATAATAATCAATACAACATCAACAAACTAGAATAATTTTGATTTATATTTGGCAAATATATTTATGAATTATACATGCCCCTTTGATACTCTCGCAATCTCTCCTTTTCCCCCCTCCCCCCTCACGTATATTTATCAAATGCAAAACTCTGTAAAAGCGTGATGCGACGTCGTCATTCGCTAAACGCATCACGCGTTCGAAAAACTAATACTTGTAACGATATCGAACACCTATGCGACACGTAGAGAAGCAACAACATGCGTGCCGTAGACAACTTGCCACTTGTAGCAATTGACCACGCAAGTGTTTACCGTCCCCTTCGGGTTACGTGACGCTATGCGACGTGATTTCGCCTTACTTTAAACATATCGTTCGTTGTTTCACAATGTGTAAATGCAAATAAATTGTAATTGCAATAATATAACTTAAATTTTTATAATTTGAATAATGCAACTACCTTATTTTACGCACTGTTTACCAAGTTGAAATGTGTGTCGCATTAGAAATACAAAACCTATTTTGCAATAATCCATGAATCTAAAGAAACTTTCGTCGATGACTTTGCAAGGGTCGTCGATGTGTATATGTATAAATCATGTAAGCACTTATTATTGAGATTATGTTCAAAATTTTAATCCTTTCTCGATTAAAACAAAACGCATAATGTTCTCAACTGTTATTACGGCAATAAACTTGAATGAATGAAATAAACAAATCGAGAGAGAAAGAGAGAAGATGACATTCGTTTTCTTCTATGGGTATATATTACGGGGATGTGAAGCTAATAAGATTCGTGTGCACCAAACAAAACGCCGCGTTAGCTACTTGAAAATATAAGAATGCTGAGCACGTCTGGCGGTGGGCAGGCCGCGCGGGTCACAATCCCATCTGCCGATCCTAACCGGTCTCTTTTCCTCCCTCGTTTTCTCTTCGGCCCTTCGGACGTTTAAACTCCGGTTAGACATACGCGAGCGCGCGCCATTATCTTATTTACGCCTCATTGTCTCAATGTATCATACCAATATCGCGCCTGTTCGTACCGACCGGCAACACGCTCTTGGACCATCAGGGTGCACGTGAATCTACCGCGCTTATACCGCGATTTGTCTGCCTTTTTCTTTCTATCCTGATAAAACTCGCTTGCAAAAAAGTTCATTAAGGTCAAATCACACTAACAATTGCCGATTGGCGATTAGAATAGAATATTGTCTAAACGACAATTGCTAATATCAATCGACTACTTTGCTTTGATTGGTTGAAAAGTAATCGCCAATGGTCAATCACAATCGCAATCTAATCGGCAATCGCTAATGTGATTTGGCCTTAAGACAATCAAGACAATTACGACGTGTGAGTTCTTTTACTTCTATTATAGTATTCTACTTTTCAGTATTTCAAATTCAATGGTCCTGAATTTGATCTCTAAAGTATATATCAAATTTTTCTTTTAATAGAGCTGTAAATATTTTTTACATGTACTTAAAAGTGCAACATTCTTAAACGCGATACATTAAAATCTTTTTTTGTTTAGAAATCTCGATTGGAAAATGTTTTGCCGTAGAGTGATTCATCTTTTAGTTTTCTTCATTTTTTATTGACATCTTGAGGAGAAATAAGAAGTTTACGTTTGAGAATTTTGTCCTTTTATCCTCGCTAGAAAAAAAGTGATTGCAAAGCCAAGAAGAAAATACCGCAAAGGATGTTGGGACGTAGTTTATGGCTATACTGCAGCACTAAAGCAATTTTGCAGCGATGACCTCGTTTAATTCTAAACGTTGTATTTGTGTGTGTATGTGTTATTTCAAACGAGTTAAACCTTTATTCTATACTGTGTTTTGACACTCGACGGGTTCTGCTTGTTAAATTTTACGAGCGGTCATGACACGCAAGATCTATCGATTTGAGAAGAAAATCTGTTTCTTTTGATCGAATCATCCCGGGAAGAACAATGTTAATATAGAGACAATAAATACTGAAAAAAGATATGCGTAAATAAGCTAAATTGTTTTGAAATTTCAATATATTTAAATAATGTTTTTATCAACAAGTAGGTATGTAATATATTGTTAATTGATCACAATAAAAAATAAAAATAAAAATAAAATGTAAAAAATAAAATTTAGGTATATAAATATATTACAATATACTGTACAACATTGAGACATTTATAGTACCCGTCGAGATTTAAATTTTTTATAAGAGATAATCTATTTTAATTTTGTATAAATTAAATAACACATTGTATGACGATCTATTCGTGGTGCGTCATAAGGTAAATATTAATTACGACACGGAATTTTTAAAAAAATTTCAGACATTTATTTTGCTGACATCATATATATGTTTCTCATAGGGATTTATCCTTATTGATCTCTATATACATATATGTATAATATTCGTAATATCTTTAGCAACAATAATTTTTATGTACACATTATAATAATAACAAGCTGCGAATGACTATCTATATATAAATCCGACTATACATAATTATCGCTTAATCGATGCTGTACATGTTAGGATCACCCAAAAGAGATCATAAATAAAATTCTATCTATATAATTACATTTATATAGTTTTATACATTCTCATACTCATTATACTCTGTGTATTCTTTAATATCTCGAAATTCGCTGAGATTCAATTTCAAGGTTCATGTTTTGGTAAAGTTCTATCGACAATATCGTTAATAAACGAATGTTGTCGTTTGATATGATATTTACAGGAGAAGCATAATATTGTATATATACGAGAAAAGATATGTACAAACGGGGACGAATTCAAGTACAAACCGAGCGTAATTATACAAATTGAGTACAATCGCTGGTATTCGCATCGGGAATACTGAAATCGCGAAAGGATTTCACACTTTAAATACTATACTATTTAACATATCGATCAATTTTTAATTCCTCTTGGAGAAATAGATTTCACATGTAGCTGCAACTTTGTTGCTAAAATCGCGCTGTTAATATAATATAGAAAAACAAATTTACAAATCTTGAGAAGAAATTTAGTCCAGCTAAATTCATCAAGTTTCATTGGCTACATTCATATATAAAATAAAATTTGATGAAATGACGAAATTTATACATGCGCGGCAGGGAGATGAGATCGTGCTGCACTTCCTGAAGATGGGCGTTTTTGAAACGATTACGATTATATCGCGATTCAGCTTTGTCGGCCAGTGAGAACCGTGATGGGTTTTAGAAGGAGCTGCGGCGGACTGTGAGGAAGTGGTCTCGATGGCTGGACAGAATTGCAGACGGTAACCGGCGGCGAATGCGGAGCCATTGGCTCCGGACTGCTTCCGGGCGAAGCCGTACTAGAGGGAGGTTGACTTAGAACTTGAGGTGTTTGACCGAGGTGATATCTGGATTGTTGATGGAATATCGACGCCGGTATCGGTGGTATCGTAATAGACCTTAGGGTACTATAGAAATCTTGATAAGGATTTCCCGTAGGCGAGATTCCGGACGTCGGAATGCTGATGCCGCCGGGATAGCCAGTAGGTGCTGCTTGCAGTAATCTTTCGACGGAGAACGCTCCGTGAGTCGGGGGTGCCGCCGTCGCTGGCAGAGGCTGCGGTTTGCAAGGCAAGTTTGTAGCTTGCGACGACGTAGTCGCCGCTCCAGGCAACAAACTGGCCGGATATCCGGCAGGGGTGGTATAAGATCCGGCGGTGACTGGAGGATACGCCGCAACGGCGCGATGAAGACAAAGCGACGAAGGTAGAGCGTAGAGCGATCCCGGCCATCCCGGCGGCGCGTAAGGCGTCGGATAAAGACCGCCGAGTACGACGCTCCTTTTGAAAGCCGCCAGTCGGGATCTGGAAGCCGCTGTAGTTCTACGTCGGAGTTTTCCCGTGGCACCCCCAATGAACACGTCCTCGGAGCTTGGGTCCAGCATCCAGTAGTTGCCCTTTCCAGGATCGTCATAGTGGCGAGGTACCTTGACGAAACATTTGTTCAGAGATAGATTGTGCCGAATGGAATTCTGCCACCCTTGCTTGTTGTTCTCGTAGTATGGAAAGTGGCGCATTATGTACTCGTAAATGCCGTTCAAGGTGAGTCGCTTTTCGGGGCTTTGTCGAATGGCCATCATGATTAGCGCGTTGTAGCTGTACGGTGGTTTCTCCGCCTTCTTCTTGTCCTCCGCTTGTTCTTTCGAGTCCTTTTGACTCGTCGGACTGACGGACGTTGCACTCGTGGAACAATCCAAGGGTGGCGTTTCTGCGCCACCACCAGTAACATCGAGATCACTACAATCATCGCTATCGTCAGCGGGACCGATGTCGGAAGAATCCGACTGGCTGACCGACGGCGCAGGGGTCCCGGCACACGCTTCGGGTAAGATGCTACGAATGCTGAAGTTGCTTTTCAGGGCAGCCCGTGGCGGCGGTGAAGCTGTCACGGTATGCTGCTCGCTCGAACTCTCCATATTCACCATGCTTCGAACCATGCACCGTTTTTTTTCCGCCGTTTCGTCGCAACACCGTACGTACTCCGCTCGCACTTGCAGATCAGATAGGCGATTGCACCGTACCTACCTCTCGTCACATGTATACGTTCACTCAATTTCTATATACATTTCGCTCCTACATTTTCTCCTCGTTTCTCCAACTAACGTACATGCACAACACACCAACAAACGATCGTTTTTTTCTTTCGTTTTTTATATGCGCGCACCGTGCGCTCGCTCTGCGCCCTGTCTCTCTTCTCAACTTAGCGAGTAACGTGAAGCGTTAAAACGTCCCCATCGAGAAGCCGCGCGTTTCTGACGATCTCCCCGCCGGGGATGCTATTTATACCTGGTGCTCGGATACGCCCACTAGTAACGACGCGACGTACCTCGAGGGGCTCGCTGACCAATCGTGATGGTAGCGCACTAGCACCCCACCAACGGTGTTTGCATCCAATGTTTGACAGCAAACAATGTCAGCGATGCGGAGCCACGGCGAAGGCTGGGATTTCGGAGGTGGCAGACGCGGCGCCGAGCGATCGCGCAGCATAGTGGGGAGCGCAGCCGCAACTAAACGTGCATCCCCGCGTGTGCAAACAAATCCAACGCGCTTTACCCACGTCTCTACGCGCCATGTCCCTCCTACGGGATTGGCACGTTCTTGCACGTCGAGCACCGCGAGAGTTGCAACACAGGACTGGCATAGGCCATAGGGAGAGAATTGTGTACGGCGTGCAATTGTATTCGTATCTTTCACGGCGGCTGAAACTTGCTTCAATTTTCATAACGTTGTCGAATATGGAAATTATGCAATGGGGACGTCTGTTGCACAAAACGTCGTTCGTACACCTGGTGTCATCAACTTTATCTTTGATTTCAGCGTTTTTTAACTGACGAATGAATGAGAGACGCGCTAACAAACTTGAGCCATTGACCTCTTGCGCACGTGCAAAATAAATATCATTCTTTTGACAAGTTTATAAGACATGCAAGTTGTTAGATTATTATTATACGAATTTAATACTTTATATTGTTTCCCTTTCTCTCTTTTTGTTAGTTGGTAATTTTTTGTTTTCTATCTACGCGTTTTGTATCAATGATAAATGAAGAAAGATAAAAGATGAAAATGCTAGCTTATTATGCGATTAATAACAAACAAAAAACAAATGTCATTTCTCAAGCTTAGAATAGAGCTTTATGATGCGGTTTTCTATACATACATATAAAGAAGAATATTTTCTTTTTAAGTAGCCTTTAGCGGTTACATTTTTCACACAAAAGTGAATTCTTAGTGAAAGAACAGCTTATGACTAATTGTAAGTATAAGTTGAGACGACTATAAGTACTTTAAACGAATTAGCTATAAAAAATGTTTGTTTCGTCACGCTGAACAGGGTTAATTCAAAAATTTGTTTTTCTATAGAAAATTGTTTGTTGTAATTTCGTGCGGTTTGTTGCTCTCTTTTTTTTCTTATGTTTATTTGCAAATACAGTTATAGGACACTTATTGTTAGTTGAATAGTTATAGCTTTCCTAAAGGAGTTCTTTTCAACTGCAATTTCATTATTGGAATTTTTTGTCGTTCTTTGAACATGGTTAATTTTTGTAAGGAAAAATATATTTTTTCCTTTTTCAGAATACCCACTAACTTTTACTGATGCAGAGGACATTTTTATCTCTTTATTAAAATCTAGTCAGAAATATCATTTTCAGAATAACAATTTAATAATTTCAATAAGACCGCATAATACGACCCTATTCAGTATTCCCGATGCGAATACCAGCGATTGTACTCAATTTGTATAATTGCGGTCGATTTGTACTTGAATTCGTCCCCGTTTGTACATACGTATCTTTTCTCGTATATGTACGATATTATGCTTCTTCTGTAAATATCATATCAAACGACAACATTCGTTTATTAATGATATTGTCGATAGAACTTTATCAAACCTTGAAATTGAATCTCAGCGAATTTCGAGATACAAAAGTATACACAGAGTATAATGAGTATGAGAATGTATAAAACTATATAAATGCAGTTATACATATAGATAGAATTTCATTTATAATCTCTTTTGGGTTATTATTATTTACATACGCTCGCCTAAGCTATGCGTTCTTCTTTATTAATGTTTATATAAAAATTATTTCGAGTATAGTTATTTATTTCATAAGTATTAAATTTTGATAAATAAAATGAATCTATAATTAAATATTTATATCTAAACTAATTGTTTTTTAAATACTGAAACATTGGCAATTGCGCGCACAAATGTTACAGTTTTGACAGAGTAAAGTGTACATTTTTTTAAGTGGTGTAACAAATGTCGAACGAGAAATTATTCGATTTCTCCGCTGATCGATCGAACTGAGAATGATTTTTGATAATGGTAAAAATTTAATGTTACGTAACGAATGTATTTTTCAAAACATATAGCAAAACGTACACACACGAATGTATTAAGCACCCCCGTATAGATGATTACAATAACATTTTGTTTCTGATTTAAAAGATTAGAGATATTAGTGATATCAAGAATCAAGGCAATGATGTCATTATTTTTATATAAGAGGCTTATACGACTTATTGTTATAATGCATATTTCTAACTGACTTAATATGTTATATATGTATATATATATGTTAGGTATTAGAATTCTGCAAATTTCTGCAAATCTACATTCAGAAAAGAGATGAAAAATATGATTATTTGAGCACTTATTTGTTCTTTTAAAAATAATAAAAAAACTTAAAAAATGTAAACTTACATACATATGTACATGTTTTTAATTTTTAGGGGATTTTCTTTAAAAATGCATAGAGAAAGTCTTTCTTTTAATCATACGTTTGCGTAAGTGGCATCGATCTAGATTCTAGAAAATTATTAATCAATTATTGGTCAATAAGATCATAACGACAAGAAGGCTGAATCAATGGAGGCGTATAAGAATGAAGGAAGCAAAAGGCACGTGACAAACGTGAACCACGAAAAAAAGAAAAATCGAAAAGAAGGTTACCGTAGGTTGCCGAGAAAGGACATCGGCAAAAAGCAAAAGGCATTCTTTGAACCGCGGATGACATCTTTATATGCGTTGTTCGGCTCCCCATCGTGAAAATGTCATCACCCCATGGCGATTCGTAGATTTAGTTGCATCCCACCGCTCTTCTTCTCATGGTATTTCCATACTACTACATTTATACAATCTATAGTGAGAGTTGTAAAATAAGATAAATGTAAATATGAATTCATTTAGTTTACTAAAGTTATATAAACCGTCTCATAAAAATTACATAACAATGTAATATATGTCAGTAATTATAATGGTTATTAATAAGAAAGAAATATAAAAGATTTATCATATACATTGATTTATATGTCTGCTTAATTATATTTTGGTTAAACTGTACCGAACAAAATTGTTTAGTTGGTATAAATAAATATTTTTGTCATTTAAAATTCTTTGACTCAGAACAAAGCAGAAAAAATATATTTTGCAGAAACAATTAAATTTTTTATCATACATATAAAACAAAATATTTGGTTGTTGTTAAAAAATGCTTTAACTAAACAGTTTTGCACTAAATTTTTTCCTCAGTATAATTTATTAATTCCCAATCGGATTATAAGAAATTGCACAATTTACATTTGTTTACTTCTAGTTAGTCTATAACTTATATTTAATTTCTGCATATTTATTTAATCTTAGATTAAAAGATTTTACGATCTTTACGTATAGTATGTTTGTCATCTGTCTTAAGACGACCACCAATGAAGCCGTAACAGTTTAAACGTGACGAATTTTATAAGTTAGAGGTACTTATTACGTGATTATCGACACACCTTTTTCGAAACTTTAAAAGATCACCATTTCCATTATTATCCCCTTTACCTCCCATCTTGCATGGAAAATCGCTTTTCCAGCACGGCCAGCATAACACGACAAAGCGGTCTTCCTATTATTCTATTCTCTCAGTGTATATATATATAATATATATATATATATATATATATATCATACAGCTTTTCTTACAATGCGAGACTACAAAAGCGATTCGTAGGTATTAAAAGTAAACCAATAAACGAATCTATTTGTTCAAAAACAGCAAATTGTTGATATAATGATGTATGTCTCCATCTAATATCTTTCCCACGGCAATACTATGCGGAATATATTATGACTAATATATTGTTCAAAAGAGATAGGTATTGGATAAAATAATTTCTTACTTCTGTGAATTATTAGCTTATTACTTTACAAAGTAACTTTTGATTAATAAATCGATAAAGAAAGGTTCCTGAAAAATAAGAAATTGATGTAACCTAGACGAAAGAATTAAACTTAATATATGATGTACATATATGTATAATAACATTACGTATGTGTCGCGCATTACGTAAATTAATATAATGTGATATTAATTTATAGCACATAATTTTTAAGAGTATCTTTGCATCAATTAAAATTAAATTTAGCAGCTGAAAAGAGTTGAGAGAAAATCATTTTACACAAAATTTTGACATTTTGTACAACCAAGTTGACATTTAGCATTAATTAAAGAATGTGATTAAATGTGACGTTTTTATGCCAAAAATTAATTTTTATTTATTTTAAGATTATTCATTTTCAGAAATGTAAAAAAAAACACTATTTTTCTTGAATTCGATTCGGTCGAAAAAAATTCTTCTGAAAAACCAAGATATCTTTTATGGAATCGAAGTCTTACAATTCGATAGATTGAGTTTCATCTATGCCTTGAACTCTTAATCCTATCGCTCTTTCTTTTCACATCAGTAGAGGCGGCCATTCTTCCCGAAGCAGATTAAATATAAACTAATCTTCTACAGTCCAATTGTGGAAACTAAGATCTGACAGAGATAATCTCCGTGGCGATCGTATTAAAATATCGACAAGAAAAAAGGTATAAAAGCAGAGAAGAGAGGCTACTTGCAGCAAAAGTCAAAGTTAGTTTGAAATTTTTGTATCCGAAATCACGAATTTCTGAAATTTATTGGCTATTGCACAATAGATATTTAATCCTAATATGAATTGTCAAATTTAAGAAGATTCAATTAATAAGATCATTATGCTCATGTATAAATGTGCGTAAATCTGTCTCCAAATTACTTTACAAACATAAAGTTTTTAATATATGTAATATACACAATAAAATAAATTTCTTTTATAATCTAAATTGATTTTGGGAGAAAGAAAATAAATTACTTTTTGGTTAAATTCACGTATCGCATAAATGATTATTATTTCTTTCTTTTGTCTGTGTGTTATTTATAGTCTCAAACGATATAAAA